TGTCTTGATATATATCAAGCGCTGATTCTTTATTGCCAGGTCCAACTGTCTTTTCTACTTCTTTCTAGCCGGAAGGGCCACCAAGGTCGAATATCGAGCTCTTATATAAAGAAAAGCTTTAGCTAAATATTTTAACTCAGCACTCACGAGCCCTACAAATCTTCACACATATCTGCAAAACCAAAAGCAACTTTTCTGCAAGGGTATTTAATCGCCGGCCTGCCAAAGTTAGCCTTTCTAACCTGCTTACCTTGTCGCTGAATTGCACAAACTGGAAGACAGACTTGTAGCTCTGCTCGCAGCTCTGCCGCGAGACAATGGGCACCTGTGCATCGCGCAGCACATTGGATGTGGCGCCCTGATGTTTGGTTGCCCCAAAGCCAGCCACAAACGGATTCATGCCCACAAATTGATCCTCGCGCTGAAACCTGCTCGCCTCGGGCAGGCAAACGGGACGTATATCACCTGGTAAAAAAATAACAAGAAATAATTAAAAACGTTGCAATGAAGCCTAAACGATAGCGCAATACTCTATCTACAGGTTAATAGTAGTAAATTTATTTGGCAAGATTAAATTGATAGGTCTTCAGTAATCTGGCAAATATATATCAGACGGATTAGCATACGGATAGATGGACGGGCGGACAGACGCCCGGGCAGAGTAACAGACGAGACGAACACAACACGAAACCAATCCATCCAAATCTTCTTTATAAACAGAGTACAAAAAGGTTTAAGGAAAATGCTAAAGTAACAAGCCATGTCGCCTCCTTCCGCTAGATGTCGCCACAGGTTAAAGGAAATGACTGAAAATAAATTGTAAGCAGCGCCACTTACCGTTGGACGGCGCCTCGCCGTTTAGCTCAATGAGCGCAATATCATTGGCAATGGAAGCCAAATCGTATTGCTCGTGAACAATGCTGCGCCTGATGCGATAATCGATGGCACCCGGCTCCACGGACTTGGACAGATCATGTGCACCGAGCCTGACCAGCGTTAGCATTGGATTGATGCAGTGCGCCGAGGTGACGACAAATTGCGCACTAATCAGGCTGCCGGCGCAGAGAAACTTCAGGGCATTGCGATTGGTCTCCTCAAAGTAGCCCAGCGCCGCAATCCAGGGATAGGCACCTATTCACACAACTGGGATTAGTAACAAATGGAGGCTTAGGGCAGAACAAGGCTTACCTCTGCGCACCGGCAGGCCGCCCACCACGCGATTTGTGGTGGCGCCTCCAATGCCACAGTCTAGGCTGGGCTGCAAGGCAGGAGCAGAAGCTGGTGCAGAAGTAGCTACCTGTCCTGAAGCTTGGTTGACTGGCGGCGTTGGCTGAAAGACGGCGATGGGCTGCCCGGGCGGCTGCGTGGCTGCGGCGCCCAGCGAAGAGAAGGAAAAGGCGCCAATCGGTGGACTGCTAGGCAGCACATACTCCTTGGGGCTTCTGTTGACCAGGGGCGCACGTGTCGTTGCGCAGCAAACCTACAAAGGAGGCTATTGAGTAACTTCTTTAAATCGGAGCAGCTGGTTTACCAGAAAGCTGGCGCCATCGAAGCCGCAAATGGACTGTCCCAGAAGCGATTGAAAGTCACTGCCGGCTGTGCCCGCCGCCTGGTACTCCTGGATCAGATGGGCGCAGCTGCCTAACGGCACACAGGCGCCGGCGCGACCGCGTGCATCCTGGCAGCTCTGCAGCTGGGCTGAAACAAGGAGCAAAGGGAGCGTAACTACGGGTTGGGCGGATGTGCAGGTGCAGGGATAGCCAATTCGGGTTTTCTTCTCAATACTTTATTCAACTACAACTATGTTTGGGTGGGTGAGGGAAATTGGGCTGGCGAGGCTGTGCTGGATCTAGTTGGATGCTAGGGCATGACGACGCCGGCGACGACGACGTCGACCTGGATTCAGTGGCATAAAGACCATCATATCCGAACCGATGACTGGCGGCTGCTGCTGCTGCTGCCTGGGATCGATGCAGGGGCAATCCGGCAGTGGACGCACGCCGCCTGGCAGACACACAAATGGTGACGATGGACACGTGGCTGCGGGAAACGTGCTGCCCGACGAAGTGCTGCCGGTTGTTGTTGTCGTTGTTGTCGATGATGAAGTACTCGTAGTCGATGTTGTTGTTGTTGTTGTGGATGTGGATGTGCTGCCTGGAGTAGGAAACGGCGGCGTTGGCGGCGTCTGCGGCAAGGGCGGCGTCGGTTGAAACGTTGGATACACTGCATGGGTGGATGTGGGCGTTAATGGCACTATGGGCGGCTGGGGCAATGGATAGAAGGCGAAATAACCTGGCGGATATGGCGGACACCAGCCCTTGATGCTGGCCAAGTACGACAGAAATGGCCAGAAATAGACCTTCACACAGAACTCATCCAGCAGCATTTTATTTGCCACAAACAAAAAAACTCTAGAAACTCCCGTGCAGCTGCCACAAATGTTGCCAGCCAACTGGCCGCAGCCAATTGTCAACTGTCCCAGTTAAATAGACATTTCATCAAATTATTCGAATTATAATTATAATTTTCACGTTTTGTTGACTTTTCGCTTTGCAGTTTTTCCAGAACGGAAGCGCATTGCCCAGGGCCGGCTTAGCAGCAAAAAGGGGGTATTCGGATCAGCTATAGTTAAACCAAGGGGAACTTGTTTATGAAGCGAACCGGTTCGAGCAGGCAATACATGCTACTGAACCGGTTCTTATTAACCCGCCCTAGGAAAATGTTTGAATGTGTATCACTTTTGCAATCAAGCGAACCAGTTATGAACCGATTCGAGCGATCCATGCATGCTGATGAACCGGTTCTTAAACGAAAATATTAGCCCAAATAACTGAACCACATTTGAGCAAAAAACGATTGGATGAGAAATATTTTTGCAATCAAGTGAACCGCTTGTAAAGCGAACCGGTTCGAGCTCAAAGAACTGAACCACATTCGAAAAAGTATTACACTAACAACATTTTCTGTTCGAGCCTGCATCAAACAAACTCTGCAACACAATTTCGATTCGGTTTAAAAGAGGTTTCGTAAATCTGAAAGCCGCAAACCGAACCAATTGAGTAATTATATTTGTTGGCCTGCAGTCGTGTTAATTACGCCCACACTCCCACTCTTTGATATGGTTTGTTAATTTTTTTTAGGAGGAAAATTAAAATAACTGGGCCACTGACGCCTCACATCCGATTGTGTCCAGCATTATCGGAGATCGTGTTAACTGCTGTTTACATGACACAATTTCCATAGAGTCCGCCAATGCAGGCATCATTATAATTTTTCTGATTTGTTTATGTTGGCGCTTTAAAAACAAGCTACATTTGTCACGATCGCAATTGCTAATATTTTGTAATTTTTAGTTTGCACAATGTTTGTCTGTGTGAACGCATCGCTCTCGAAAAATACAAGAGGTACAAAACTGAATTTTTAAATATATATATTTGACTTTATGATCATAAAGATCGGACTATAAGAACCGAAGCTAATGCAGATAGACAGAAAAGCAGTTAGACAGACAGACAGATAGATAGATAGACAGATATATGGATAGATAGATAGATAGATAGATAGATAGATAGATAGATAGATAGATATATGGACAGATAGATAGTGCATAGATAGATAGATAGATAGATAGATAGATGGATAGATAGATAGTGCATAGATAGATAGATAGATAGATGGATAGATAGATAGATAGATAGATAGTTAGACTGAAAGATAGATAGATAGATAGATAGATAGACGTAAATAGATAGATGGATAACACGACAGACAAATAGATACACAGATAGACAGTCTGAAAGTCGGTTACAGGGTATCAGCCTAGTCGGCAACTCCCGATTAGTATACTCTACACTGGTTTTAACTAGTTCTCACATAACTTACAGTTCACGAAATTCACAATTTGGCAAATCCATACTATATAAATCCAAAATCGAGTCCAGCTAACTGGCTTAGACATGTTTCACAATTCGTTTGCTGGACGCGTTCCCCTCGAAATGGACACTGAAATGAAAACTAAACAAAATATATAAACATGCCTGCAATTATAATATTTATGATGGTTTAATTGTTGCAATTTTCCAAATTAAATAAAATTATTATTAAATTTGTGGACAAACAAAAAAATAAGCGCCGGCGATGACAGATCTCGCTTGAACTTGAAAAAAAAAAGGTAAAGCACCTGATGAACTTCAAGCCGGAAAGCGCTTTAAACCGATCAAGGTCTAAACATATGCCGACCATTATCTAAATTGAAATGTATATATGGGACAAATTGAATGATTGACTGACTGACGGATTGACTGACTGATGGTTGAGACAAAGGCTTAAAAAGAGCTAAACAAATTAAATTAAAGCAGAGAGCTTTTCTCTGAGCAACTAAAACCCCTTCTGCTGTACTAAAACCCCTCTCAGACTTAGAACTGGTATATTCTCGACGGGAGCTTAGGCAGGGACCAAAAGGATCCCTTTTGCAACAGCTCACCCCAATATCCTTGAAAGAAGGCCTTGCAGAAGACGCCAGAAAGCGACGTAGACTTCGCAGGAACCACCCCAATCGATCTACCTCAAACCGGGTACTTGGCTAGATATAAGCCAAATCGAATTACACAAAGTTACAAAGTAAAAGACTTAATAATTAATGTATGTTAATTAATTAATTAGTGTATGTTAAGTATGTTAATCCCCCGACTGTGCAGCTAGGCTAAGTTGCTTAAGAAATGTATCAACAAATTGGCTAATAAAAGAATTAAAAAATCAAAAATAAAAAGATCTATATATACAATTTGGTTTTCCTACTTATGCACTGCAAATTGCATGAAGATCGGACTTTAAGCACCGAAGGAAGCATTCTTTTAGTCCAGAGCAAATGTAAGAAGCGCAGCCGGAGAAAAAATCCTTGTAACAGCAGCTCGGGCCTTGGGTAAAGGGTATTCCCAGATCGTTAATTAATCTTATATTAATTTTAATATTAATGCGAGCAAGTGACGCATTTAAAAATATTTTCGAAAACGAATTTCAGATGCGCTTATTTATTGACTTATGGCTTTCAGTTAGGCACATGGCTAATTGTTACACTGAGAGACAAGAAACGTAAAATGCTCTAAATCTAAATGCCGACTACGACTACCTCGTGTACTCGTACAGACAACATGCAACATATACACATCGAATATGGACTATATAGCATATACATTATAATCGTATGGTTAATAGGCCTGAGGCCATGCCTGGAGCCTGGGTGTGTGTGTTCCGCCTGGTCCTTGGGCCCTCCTATTCCCGGTGCTTGCAGTCGAGGAAGAGTTGCGCCTGCGATTGCACAAATCGAAAGATCTCCAGCAGCATCTCGTTGGACGTCTTGCAGTTGCCCTGCTGTTGCGGCTCAAAGAAGCCACCAGCGCCGCCGCCTCCAGCTCCGCCGCCTACCGAACGCTTGCCCCAATCCGGCGAGAAAGTGAGCTGAAAGTATGAGAAATTGTAATTGCAAGCTCTGTCAATGCTTCGCTTCGACTCACCTGGCATTGCACACAGGCCAGCAGGAAAAAGAGCACGGCGGCAATCAGGACTTCACTCTTGGGATTCATGTTGTGTTCTGTGTGCCTTAGACCCACTCGCAGCTGCTTATATACCCCAACAATAGGCCAATCTCCACTTGCTGTCCAATTAATTTCGACACTTCTAAGGATTCTGCGGCCCAGACAACAGATTTTCTGACGTCATTTCTAATAAATGAATCAGCTCTCTTCCAAGACTTTAAGCTGCCTTAAGCTAAGACAAACTTAACACACTTTAAACCAGAAACGATTTTGATTCATGATATTATTAGCAGAGTCTTCGCTCCTTTTCATTTGGTTAAAATTAATAGTTTTTCTAAAAAATAATCAACTCACATTTTTCTAAATCCACAAACAAAATTAATTGACAATCGATTTTGTTTGTCAAAAAAAAACTCGAAATCCCGATCTCACAAAGGATTTCAGGTTTTGCAAATCTTGTCACAATTGTCAAAAATTTCGACTCGTACAATTTGTAAAAAATTCCAAAATTAGGCCACAATTATAAATTGGCTCAAAACCGAGTCGAAAATCACGTTTGAGGTAAGTACTCTAGATTATTTGAGAAGAAAATGAGCGTGCAACATTTTGGAAGCATTTGTGATTTGTATGTATTTATTAGAATTGCGCATATATTTGTATTAAATATATTAATATAAATATATAATATTAATTAAAAAGGTTCGTTAAAATAAAGCAGTGTAGAGTTAAGACAAAGAACACATAGTTTAAACACTTTTGTATAAAATAAAAACATTGAATAATTTATCGAGGTCTACAAATATTATTGTATTGTGCGTTTTATCGTTTTCTATAAACAAAGTACTCGAATTATGACAAAAAAACAATTTAAATTGCTTTTGTTGTATTTGTTCTTTTTGTTTGTTATTTTTAATTTTTTTTGTTATCAATGCGCTGACTAAATGCAACGAGAACGAGGCACTCAATTTGTTATTAAACACAACACAATCTTTGATTACGCGTAACAAAATCGAATCGTATATATATATATAGTACGTGTACATGTATGCAATATATATATATTTATATATATTAGTAGTAAATAACAATACAAATTACAATAACACATTACTTTTGGCTTAATCGAAAAATACAAACAAACATTCAAAACTTGGCTCAATTATTTCCATTAATATTATTAAACAAATGGCGTTTGCACACTACAAATTTCTCACAAATTTCTAACCATAATAATAAAAAACATTTGTCCTTAATTGTTGCCATCGATCAACAAATAATATTACAAAAATATATGTATATATATATATGTATATGTGTGTGTGTATCCATGTATCTATGTATTTATGCAAGCATGTATGTTTGTCTGTGCTGTCTGGCGGGGACTTATTGAGTTTTAATTGTTTTTTTTTTCGTTAGTTAGTTAACTGGCTAGTTGCTGGGCGTGGCGCGAGCTTATACGATTCGGTTATGGGTTCTACTGGGTAGGCAGGTATAAAAAATGCACTTCGTTTGGGTTCGTTGTTGTTGCTTGATCTTGGATACTGGGTACTGGGTACTGGGTACTGGATTACTGGTTGCACATCGAAGTCTGTATAGCTCAGTCGACGCGCGTTTATTAATTTAAAAATTTGGTGTTATACTCGTTACATTCATCTTGTTGTTGTTGTTGTTGTTTTTGTGGAGATTCGCAAATTGCTCTTACATCAGGCAGCACTTCTTCTTGCCCTTCTTCTTGTAGCCCTCCTCGATGTAGGGTCGTTCGGCTATTTGAAATTTACGCACAATGCGCACCAGTTCATGAAACGCCTGATCGACATTGACGCGCAGCTTGGCACTGCACTCAATATAGGGTATCAATAGGTTTCTGCTCGTATTTTGCGCTTCCTCCAGCGACACCTGACGTTGATGCTCCAAATCGCACTTATTGCCCACCATCAGCATGGGAAACTCATCGCGATCCTTGACACGCAAGATTTGACGCTGAAACTTTGGTATTTCATCGAAGCTGGAATGATCATTCAAGGAGAACACCAACAGGAAACCCTCGCCGGAACGCATATACTGTTCACGCATAGCGCTAAACTCCTCCTGACCGGCTGTGTCCAGTACTGCAATATGGCATAGATGAATAAACAGACAATACATAATATGTATGTGCATTTTTTTGAGACTCACTGTCCAGTTTGGCGGGCACATCGTCTATGACACACTGTTTTGTGTAGGAGTCCTCGATGGTTGGATCATAGTCTGTCACGAAATAGCTCTGAAATTTTTAAGTGGATATACTTGAAGCGTATTTTGATTTGTTTACACACAGTCTTATACTCGTAAGATGAAGAAAATCTATTGCATACATAAAAACAAATGTGTTTATATGTGTATGCGTGCATATACATATGTAAATATACATATGAATGGTTGTGGCATGAGCAGCAGATGAAGATGACGCAAATAACTAAAAATAAATGGAAAACGGCCGCCGCGCATTGCCATATTTGTGAATGATACGATGGACGAAAAAGAGACCGTGGTCGTGACCATGACGAGCGGCCCGCCGGATTGACCTCAGCTCTGCGCATACACTCAAACACACACACACACACACACACACACACACACACGCACACACACACCTATAAACGTAACTCCTATTTGGGCCGCTCCAGTGGGATACGCCCTTTAAATATGACGATTTTCCAGCTGACTTTCATTTCTATTGATATACATTTCAAGTTGATTTCGCTGAAGATGATCTATGCTTGAAAATATGTAGCACACGCGAATATTGCCAAACACATCAAGTTGTTTGGTGCCTCGCTTGTTGCTTTTGCCAAAAACAAGGGTCCAACCCACTTGTTACGTCGCGCCGCGCCCCTCTGACGATGCGTCGACATAGAGATGAGTAACATTTACGTTCACAACTGCGTGACTATGTGTTACCGCCAAAACTAACTGTTATTGCGAACTGAAAATCACGTTATTGGCCAATGCGCAACACTGTTGCTTTTGCCTATACTGCGACAGCGACGGCGACAACGACGACGTCACCAGATCTAGTTCTGGGCTCACCTGTATGAATTGTATCGTTATGGCCGATTTTCCAACGCCGCCGCCACCGACGACAACCAATTTGTACGTTTGCATTTGCATATTTGTGCGCTTTGCTCTCTAATTTTCTATTATTTTATTGTTATACCGTCCGCGAAAAAAATTCAACTAGAAATACACTGGTGTATCGACATAGTCGATTACATTAAACATCAACATATCGCCAGGGTTTCATTGCGATTACTCGATTACTTGCGCAGCTTTCACAGCCATTGACTCATTTTTGCGTTATTCCGTCGATTACAACCGAAATCCAATTCAAGTATTTTCGCATTTATTCAACAAGTTGTATCTTAGGCTTAGAACGAGCTACACTAAATGTTTGATGGAATTGTGAACGCTAATGAGACTCAGCAGCCATGCATAGACGTGCCAGCAGACTAGTCAACTGCAGCAGCGAATTACAGCCATCAACAATTTTCATGTGTGTAATTCCAATCTCGCGAATGAAGTTCAACTTCAACTGCTCGTCCACATTCAAGCGTTTGCAGACGCGAAATATGTTGCCAATGATGTCTTCGGGTGCATAGCCCAAGCGCCATAGCTTGGCCAAGATCTTGTATGCCTTATGTATATCATTTGCAGCACAATGCTGCAGCATGTCCTGCAACAGCATAGGATGCGGCTCATCGCACACTTTGAACACATTTGCTCCCGTTATGTCACCAAAGCCCTGCGCCGTGGACTGCAGATTGTTGAGCGCCTGCCGCATGTCACCCTGGGCCGTGAACACTATCGCCTCCAGGCCATCCTCATCGTACTTGAGCTTCTCCAACTGGCACACCTCAATCAGTTTGGCCAGCACCTGGGCATCCGACAGCTTGGTGAAGCGCAGCATCGCGCAACGCGATTGAATGGGTTCAATGATCTTCTCGCTGGTATTGCAGGCGAGCGCGAAACGTGTTGTATTGCTATAAATTTCCATGGTGCGGCGCAGCGATTGCTGTGCACCTTCCGTCATGCTGTCCGCTTCGTCCAATATGACAATCTTATGACGACCGCGCGGCAATGTTACCTTCTGCTGGGCAAACATCTTGATCTTATTGCGCACCACATCGATTCCACGCTCGTTCGAGGCGTTCAACTCGAGAACTGCATCCTTATAGCTGTCACCCAGCAGAATGCGGGCTAAGCACTGTATGGTTGTTGTTTTGCCAACGCCAGGCGGTCCCTGTATTATATTAGATAATTTTGGTGGGTTTGTATCTTGTGATATGGGCGTATATTACCGCTATGATTATGTTGGGTGAATTTCCTTGCGTGGAGAAGACGGACAAACGGGCGACTGTATCTTCATTGCCCACAATTTCATCGAACTTGACAGGCCGGTACTTTTCAATCCAAGGCAAATTGTTGCGCTTGTCGACGACAACAGTTTCCATTTCCTCTGGCATTTTGTTTTGTTATAAGAAAAAATAAATAATACAAATTTCAACTCCTGTCGGCGTTTGCAAGCACAAAACGCGGGACGATAGACAATTGTTGTGGTATTTTTTAGCACTTATCGTATTGGTGGGTGTTAGAGCAGGCAGCTCTCCCTTGCCCATGCTATCGAAATAGCAACTTTGCGAGCGTAAAAGCATCGAGTAATTGCGATCGAGTACTCATTATCGGTGCGCATGATAGTTGTGTGCTCAGTATCGATAAGTGTAGATGTAGAAAAAAATATAGTGAGAATATGGCGAGTCTTGAGGGCCAGCAAGAAAATTATTCGAATAACCCAGCAGGTATGCATTAAAAAAAGTGAAACGGCCCAACAAAATTAACTAGAAACCGTGCGCGTCAATGACCAGTGCAAAAATGTAACCAACAATACGCGTAACAAAGAGTTTTATAAGCCCCAAAAAAAAATTGTTGGTCGAATGGGCAGCAACCAAGACAACGACAACGACGACGGCGACGACGACTCACACTCAAAAAGCGAACGATGTGAAAAAAGAAGAAGCCAGAAGAAGTGTTTGCTTCATATGGGTGAAATTTGCCCCCGTGTGTTTTTTCGAGTTCCTGCTATGTGCTTGTTGTTTTGCCCCCGCTAATTCCCCCCACCAACCCTCTCTCAAAACGTCAACCGGAGTTTTGAGTTATAAATAAAATTCGTTCAAAGTTTCCAGAGGAAAACATTTTCGCTGCCGCCGCCGTTCACAGTCATCGTGAGGCAGCAGCTGCGCTGCAGCTGAACATTTGTTTGACTGTATATGTGTTGTATGTGCATGTGCATGTGTATATGTATATGTGTGTGCTTGTCAGTCCACCCCGTCTGCCCGCCGACGCCGCCGCCAACTAATCAAATGCGTGTTTTTACCTTGCCCTACAAGTGCAAAACAGAAGCCGATTGATTTTCTTTTTTCCACATATTCTGATATTTCATTTCGTTTTTGGACTCTATCCGAGTGAGTGTTTGCAAACGAAAAATGTGCAAAATGTGCAAAATGGTGAAAATAACTTTGAAAATTGAAAGGCTGAATGAACTTTACAGCGCACGTTTACAAAAATTATCTTACGAAACGAAAACACAAACACTCGAGTGTTTATATTGCATTGTTGTTTTTTATTTACTTACAGTGGAAAACATACCCAAACGACCCGAAAGCCGAGAGGGGAGTGCCGAACGCAAAGGTAAGACAGCCTTTCATATAGTACACTTATTATTATATGAACCTATTCATGTGCGTGTGTATGTATGTGTGTCTGTGTGTGTGTGTGTCTGTTACATAAAATTTGTCCTAGACGACTACTGCACGCTCTTACTGCACACAAACTAAGCAAGAAATCAATAAATCTCCAAATCTCACAAGAACTTAGTACATTTCCACAAAAATTCAATCCTAAGGATATATTTATATAGATGCGATTTTGAGATTTTGCTCCTATGTTAGGCGCATTAAAAAGTCGCAATTGAAAAGTTATGTCTAGATATTTTAAAAATATTTGAAAAATAATAAATTGGCTTAGAGTATATTTTTCGACAATAATGTCTATGGTAACTATTTGATAAGTAGTCTGATCTGGATAATTTGTAGACTCTATGTAAAAGTCATGGAATCTTGATAAGTTAAGAGCTTTTTAAAAATATCAAATAATTTAATAGTACGACAAACATATGTACTAGCTGACGTAAAAATAGCAATCTATTCATAGTTTCTTCAGGATTTAAAGGCTTCAAAATGAGATATTAGTTTGTGTTCATACCGAGAGACAAGATATTGAAGAATTCGCTTTATGGTAGTTTGTTTAGTAAAAATTTCTCCAAAAATATAAAATGATTTCATACTACGACACACATGTGTACTACCTGGGGTAAGAAAAGGGCTCTATCCGTAGATTTTTCAGGACTTAAAGGCTTTCATATGAGATATTGAGATGTGTTACCTACTTGGTGATAAAATCTGAATACTCTTTGCATAGGGCATAAAAACGTATAGCAAAATTCTTGTGCGCAAATGGGCTTGCTTCAGCTCCAGCTCCGGCTCCGACTGCAGCTGCATCACAGCCCACTCGCAGCATCCGCGCAATGCTCAGAGGTGGGCGCCAGGCACATAGATGACGGCAGCGTCTCTGCCGGCGTTCAAGGTTGTTGACATGCTCTGCCGTGTGCGCCCATCTGCTGCGCCAGCCGAGCCGCATGATCATTCACAGACATTCGCCAGCTGATAAGCGAACGTTATCTAAACATGCTTATGGATATATGTATGTATGTAGAATTTGTGAAAAGTGAAAAACAGCTTGCCTCAATTTACAGTTGTTGCACTTTACAGTTGGGGTTTGCTTTGCTTTGCTTTGCCTTTTGTTCGAATTTGCAATTAATTACGTCACTAAATTCCATAAATACTTGAAACGATAACGCGTTATCGGTGCGGTTATCGGACGATTGCCGATTTCCGATTACAAAGAATGCGCAGAAAGTTAGTTGACCAACATTGGCGAGTTGGCCAATTGTCTGGCAATTTTTATGTTATTTTCTTTATTGCTTTTATTTATTTTGCACAGCGGCCCAATGTCATTTTAATAAAAATTGTGCGCTTACATTTTCTTTTGCCTTATTTGCTCATCGCACAGCGACCTGTATGTATGTGTGTGTGCGTGTGTGTGTATTGTTATTGTATTTTGTTGTCAATTGACCCACATACATACAAAGCGGGCGTACGATGACGTCAGGCGCTGTAAAAGTCGCGGCTGTAGTTGCCGGCAAATGCCAAAAAAAGCAAGTAAGAGTGCTTCAAGTCACGATTGCGCGACTACAAAATACCCTGTAGGCAGCTGCTTAAAATAATTAATGATAAATGATAGTTTAAGGCTGAGCCCTGCCTTTCTTGACCTTTCTATATGGTAGAAACATTGCTAAATAATCGACATATTTTATCTATCAACATATCTAATCTATGTTTCAAGCGAATACTTTAAAATATATATAAATTTATATTTATATTATATTTAAATATATGCCAAAAATCAAGATCATTTTCCTTGATTTTAAATGTTTAATACCTAATATCAGAAAATCCTCCAAAGTTATCTGTTGAGTTCCAAAAAAAAAAACGGTATCGGTAGTTTAAAAAATAAGCGTAAATATAAAAATTTGCATGCCCTTTGAAAATGCTTGTGCTATATACCCGCTTTGACTGTTTTTCTGGAGTGCAGGGTATAAAATGAAGAGCAAGCACAGTGAATGAAGCTATATCGATTTTTGCCACAGGTAGCAACAATTTTGATGATTAAAACTTGCATCTATATGTGAAATATGAGCATTCGTGTTTGTTTTTTAGCTGCCACACCTGCCACCCCCGCAACCCCAATCAGAATCAGAATACAAATCTAATGACTGACTCTCTTTTATTTTTTGACAGCGTCCAAAGATCGAGAGGAAAAACTGAGATATGCGCGTGATCGACAGAACGAGGAGCGACAGAAAAAAATCGAAGAGCTGCGCGCCCAGGCCGAGGCAGCACAAAAATATCGCGAACAAAAGGAGGAGGAGCGTCGCCGCCGCATCGAGGAGATACGCGTCCGTGATACAGAGAAGCGTCATCAGGTTGAGGAGCGCAAAAAGGCCATCATCGAGGCCGAGAAGGAGCGACGCGAGTTTATACTCAAAAAGAATCAGGTGCGTTTTATGGCCAAATG